CTGGATTCCTAGATCCCTTTCACACGTAGTCTCATTCAGCCAGGTATGTCTCCCAAAACTACAGTTCACAGAATTGCCTAGCATTTAGCGAGGGCAGTTAAAGCAGCCTCAAACTGGATTATTTCTGCAGTCTGTTTTGGACCTGTTACATTTCCATATGTATTTACTAGAAACCTGAGTGAGATTTGAAGTTAGGCAGGTTAAAAATATTAAGTGAGTTAAAAATGTAATTTAATCTTACGGATAGACACTTGAGCACACATTTCACCATGGATGATGTTTTTATATGTGCTCAACAAGCTTACTTTCGACATACGGGTGCATAAGGTTTTTCTGTTTACCTCAATATGTAATGCTTTCAGTATTTTGCATCTCACAGCTTGCAGCATTACAGGCAGCGTAAAAGGTAGTTCAATTCCCCTTGTATATTCTTTATTGCTGGTGCTGAATTAAGCAAATGATCAGGAATCAAGAGTGAGAGGCAATGAAAAGTCAAAAGGAGTGTGAATAATAGTAAAAAACACTGAAAGCATGTATGACTTGTGGATCATTTCTCCTTTTTTGGTATTATATACAATAGTTTACTAAGGAGAAGATCAGCAGAAGCTATCTCATAATCTTTTTAATAGGATATCGTCAAGCTCAAAAATGGTATAGATTTATTGTCTGAATGATGTGAAAGGTTGTTAAAATATTTGCACATAAGATAGTGACTGTGAGAAATGAAAGGTCTAGGAAAGATGTGGGGAACTTATGTTCCTCTAGATAGTTTTGCACTATAGCTCCTGTCCTCCTTAACATGCTGACTGAGGCTGGTAAGAGTTGTGAGTCTCAACAAAATCTGGAAGGCTACAAGTTTCCCAGTCCAAATGTAGGATAACCCACCAGTTTCATATCGAAATTATGATTAAGTACCCTTTTCACATGAGAAAAGATTATAACCTTAAGACACCAGATCCCATTTGATCTTGGAAGCTAAGCAGGGTCAGCCCTAGTTAGTACTCGGATGGGAGACCACCAACTAATGTTAAATGCTGTTGGCTGTATTTCAGAGGAGGGAACTGGCAAAACATTTGTGAGTATTCCTTGCCTAAGAAACACTGTGAAATTCATGGGATCACCATAAGTCAACAGACAGTGTGGGCCCTTGGTATCTGTTGGAGTTTGATTCTAGGCTCTCTTGTGGATACAAAAATCAGTGGATGGTTAAGTCCTATTAAATATAATGGCATAGTGAAATGGTATCCCTTATATAAGACAACAAATTAAAGGTTTGTTTGTTTTTTTAGAATGTATATGTTTTTGGAATATTTTCAAACAGTGGATGGTTGAATCCGTGGATAAAAAGTCCGTGAATATGGTTGGCTGTGCATGGTATTTCTTAGTGCATTTTGAAGGTTGGAATTCCATTAAACACTGGAATGTGCTGATGGCCACTAGCTTAAATAGCTTAACATGGGGATTTGATATGTTCAAAAGGGACTGCCCTTTATGTCATAGTTATTCTCCATACTGATAGCTAAATGGGAACCTCTCTGTTCAGAGAGGGTATGCCGCAGAGTACCATATGCTAGTGGCTAAACAACAGGGAAGAACTCTTGTCCTCATGTCTTATTGTTGGCACCTGGGAGCATTTCATTGGCCTCTGTTGGGAAAGGCTAGCTGAATCCTTGGTGTGATATAGTAGTAGAGTCACTGGTAGGTTCTTGGTGAACATCACATTATTTTACTGTTGTCTTTTTGAAGACGAATGTTTCTTAAATTGTTGTTTAAGGCTTGTAATCAACTTGTGTGCAGGCTTAAAGTATACTTGCAGAATAAAGATCTATTATAGTCATGCTGATTAAAATTATAGAGGAGACATGCCAAGTACTTCTGAGGTTTATATGTATCTTGTAGATGCCAACTCTTCAAAGTCTGAGAGCTTTCCTTGTAAATGGCAGTAATAACTGATTTATAAAGCGTTGATGCGAATGGGATTTTGGACACACAATGAGCATGGAATCAGCTGGAACCATAGTGTGAAGTTGGTATCATATCATGTGATTTTCTATCATTTTATAGCAAGATTCTGTACATATTTACTTAAAGGCCCCAAGCTGGACTTCATTCTTAGGATATAAATTAAAAGAGAGAGTACTTTTAACTAGGCTGCATTTAATCTGGAATGTTTTCAGAAAAGTAATTTAAGAATGTATTATTATTATTTTTATAGGTCTTCAAATGATTTATCTAGACTTTAGAGTTTTGCTTTAGCATTTTACATGTACCCGTGTTTTCCCCAAAATAAAACTTTATCTTATATTTATTTTTACTGAGGAAGACACACTGTGGCTTATTTTCAGGG